GTAGCACGAATCCACATATTGTATAGTGATACAATTCGTCATAGTTATTTAATTGCATCATCACACTCTTATTAGGATTTACTTCTAGTAACCACCTGTCCAACTATGCCACCAATGAGCTAAGATCATCCTGTAATTCTATTCTATTCGACATACTGTGTATGTGTCTCTAGATTTTTATCTCATCAGCGAAGAGTAGATTGAATGATTTCGCTACAGTTGGTAATTCATTTGCATAAAGTAAAAAGAGAAGAGGACCGAGGATTGTACCTTGGGGAACTCAAATTTTTACAGGTACCCACGAGAAGAGAGCTTCATTAACCCTTATATAGTTTATTTTTTTAACTTAAGCTTTTCTTGTTGTAGTAACCATTTTTCGTGTTAATTACGGTACTATATTGGTCACATACCTCATGTCAGACTCAATACAAACCCAAAACCTGGAGGATTTTTCACCAGTGGAGATAGACAATGTTATGGCTACGAAATCCCGACTTCCAGAATTTGATCATAGTGATCCTGGGTTGTGGTTTGCTCAACTAGAGCATTAGTTCACGAGGCACAATATCAAATCTGAAGGAATTCGCTATAGAGACTTGTGTTCTATCCTTCCTCCTTCAGTCGCCGAAGAAGTCCGTGACTTGATTTTAAGTCCACCATCGCCACAACCATACACCATCTTAAGACGAGGGATAATGAACCGTTTATTATTATCAGACAGTCAAAGAATCCAAAGGGTTTTCCAAGGAAAAACACCAGGTGATAGGTCTCCGTCACAGTTTTTACGTCACTTCCAAGTCTTAGTGGGTGATAACACAGTGGGTGGAGCAGTCCTAAAACAAGAATGGATACAAGCTCTCACATGCTACATCCAACACTCTTTGGATGCAAAAGTTCCTGGAACATCCTTATCTGATTTAGCACATATAGCCGATAGAATAATGGAAAGAGGTCTTCCAACTGGATAACGCATGATAAATCACACACAAAACGTTCCAGTTTGAATTTAAGACCAGAATGAAAGACCTTATCGAAGGCCTTACTTAGATCTATGAAGATCAAATCCACAGGAATATTCCGTGCTTTTGCAACAGCCCAATCTTCACTAGCAATGAGAAGATTTGTCAAGCATGATAGGCCTCTCCAGAAACCATGTTGTTCTTCTCAAGCCTCATATTTATCCTGTGAATTATTGGCTTAGTAAACTTGACTGCTTTTAAGAAAGCATATGTACTCTCCACCTTATGCTTAACAATTATTGCTTTTTAGCAAGTATGGGATGAACCGACTAGACGTTTCATAGTGAGTTTTAAGAAAATAACAGAAACAGACCTTATGGCTGAACGTACAATAGCCACGGCTAACATTTGTCGGCTATGATCAAATGTCTGTCCATGAAAAATAATATACATCTGTTGATTATTATTTCTTTCTACTTAAGTTTATATAGGGTGTTTCAATACAGCGTAATACATAAATTATTCACTTCGTGTAACTTAGCCCAACAAATTCGTGGTGTCTCCATTTTTAACGGGAATAAAAAATGCTAGTAAACCCAAAGCGGGTTTAAGGTATGTGCAATGAGTTTTGCTGAGAAAGAAGACAAATATTTTAGTAAGGGAATGTCTCATGATCCACTGTAGATTGCTGATTTCTTAATTGCTGGGATCATCGTGTAAGTAATAGTGAGGTAAGACGCATTGTATTAGGGAATAATGGCAAGTCAGTTGACAAGGTTGTGAATCTTCATCGACTGAGATGGTTGAGTCACGTGTTGCGTTATGCCTCAACACCGATTGCCACAACGTGCAATGGTGACTAGTTTTGGAGACGGTTGGAAGTTAGGGGCGGCCAAACCAAAGCGTGGCATCAGTGCTTGAAGTCACTAACTTGTAGTCTGAGCCATGTTGTTAGATGCAGACTACTTGGTTTGGGTCCACGTGACTAACGTAACCAATTGTTAGAGACTCGTGATGACATAACCCAGGATCGATCACAATCGTATATGTGTATAGACTTTTTGTCCTCCTTTAACTTCTACGAATTAATTCTTTCTTCCTTATGCGCAATCTTTCTTTTATATATTACTACTACTGGAGTGACTACTATGAGTTCGGTGTTCATCTTCTTGTGCTAATGAAAGATAGGAACACTCTCCTTTGTCTCTGCATACGCTCTTACTGACTGCAGCTCAGACGATGTAAAAGACGAGGTTTACAGAGAGCTTTCCAACCTTCTCCGAAATATTAGGCGTTCTGATGTAGTAATAGTGGCTGATGACTTCAATGCTAAAGTAAACTAAGCGAAAAGGAAGAATACCTGGGCGGATGTTATGGTGTCGTGGCTCAAAGAACAGATAATGGCAACCGTCTACTGCAGCTATTCAGATTTGTCAAGGAAACTGGTATTAGGAATTTAACTGTTATTGAAACTATCTCAGGAAAAGTTGAACATATTCACTCTCGATCCAGGAGATTGGATAGATGGGCAGAACAATTTAGGGATCGGTTGAACTGGCCTTCAGCCACACTTCGGTTTCCCACTATCTCCATTCGACCTGAATGGCAAGTTGATGTAAGTCCTCCAACTCTTTACGAAATTGAAAAAGCTATGATGAATCTGGAGCGTGGGAGAGCAGCGGACCATTATAGGTTCACCCTTGAGTTTTTTAAGGATGGCGGTCCAGTATTAGTAGTGAGATTGACTGAGGTCTTAGGTAGGATCTGGGAGCCGGACGTAATCCCATCTGACTGGTCTCAATCACTGATTGTGCCAGTCTATAAGAAAGGAAAAACAGTCCTCTTGTGACAATCTTAAAGGAACCAGTTTGACTAATATACTGTCTAAAATATTAGCTTCAATAATACATCGACGTCTAACTAAAGCTCGTGAAGAGCAGACTAGAGAAAACCAGGCTGGTTTTCGACCTGGACGTGGCGGTGTAAACCAGATATTCACACTACGTTAGGTCCTAGAACATAGACACATTCAGACGCTTCACAATCGTAGTATTTCTCGACCTTAAGGCGGCATTTGACTTTGTTGATCGTGAGGTTCTGCGGCAGTGTTTGTCACTGAATGGAGTACCAGAAAGAAGTACATAAACCTCGTAAAGACTCTACTCTTTCACAACTGGTCGAGTAAGAGCTTATGGCGAACTGTCATCAGAATTGATTACCTCAAGTGGTGTTCGTCAGTGTTGTCAACTCTCCATTCAACTATCGGGAGTCTTATCAGTCTTTGTGGTTTGGTGTGTCACGGATACAGAAGGCTCGAATAGGTTTTGCCAAACTCGCGCCATTTATGTCGTAGGCGAAATATCTGTCTACCAACCAAAGGACGGGTTCGTTCCGTCCTAATTTATGGCAGTGAGACATGGCCAGTAAGAGTTGAGGATATTCATAGGTTACTAGTATTCGATCATAGGTGTCTCCGAAGCATTTCTCGTATATCCTGTGACCACCGAGTAAGTATTGTGGTTGTTACGAAACGGGCACTAAGTAATTGCTATAAGTTGTGGCCTGAGTGCCCTGCAAATGTATAACGTAATGATACCGCAAATTAGAGAGCATTGAATTATCGATCGATCAATGACGCATAAAACACGTACGAGCAGTATAGAGTCCTTATTGGTCCTGCTTCCTGTCTAGCCCAGCCAGTTAAAAGTCCAGAACACCAATCTCAGCCTCTGCGATATGAATCATTTATTTCAAAAGTACTCAGTTCATATACCAACCAGAAAAACCACATCGTACCATAAAACAGGAAACAACATTTGCACAAGTTTTAGCCAGAAGTGGATGTGAGTGTGTGAGGTAGTAATTAATAGAGAAAGCATAATTCAAGAATGGTAATTCGTAGAATAATAGTTCATAGTTCGAAATGACCTTCATAATAAGAGGGACATGAATAGCTTAGTTATTTAACAATATGATAAAAATATACACATAGTATTAGTCCATAAATGGATCACTCAAGTTACCATTCATTATGCTTATCGGGACATAACAGTAAGGATGGCAAGTCAATTGAGGAAGTAGTGAGACTTCATCAGTTGAGATGCCTGGGACATGCTTTACGTATGCCCAATCACCGCCCACCCCGGTATGCAGCTTTTTGGTGTAGGAGTAGGTTGGGAGAAATCTAGGGGCGGTCAGATTAAAATATGACACAAATCCATGAAGTCACGTGCAGTTGGACTGACCCATGTTGGTGGATGTAAACTATCTGGTTGGTATCCACAATACGACAGCAGCCGATGGCTAGAGACCGTGGATGACATGGCTCGCAATGGCGCAGGTGCATCCACTCCGCTCTCCCAAACTCTTATCTTTTGAATTCTTCACGTTCCTTTCTCTCTTTCTAAATTTATTTCACTGGATCATACTCCTTAAATAACATCTCCCAACCCTAATATCTCCGATTACTGCTTATACTCTTACTACCTGTACCACTATGGGGTGTGGGTCGACAATTGTACCTCTTTGTTGATGTGGTATAGCAACTCGGACTGATGTACGAAGTTCTATGTTACTGTATGGCTGGTAGTGTGTGGAAACCTGGACCGATGTATATATGTTCCTGATCCTACGTTGTAGTTGACTGATTGGCTATCCACGTGAGTGAGGAGACGCAGGTCCCTCTCTCAAAATGCTTTCACATGGCCACATTCATAAAACCACTGGTATTTCTCATTACGCAACGTTTGTGTTTAATATTTGGTACTAACATTACCATATCTAATTAAATATCAAGAAAACTGATCAAATGACACGGTATGCGCAATTAGATTGCCATCCACTTAGAGAGCAGAATTTAGTGTGTACATACATATTGTCACCACTTCAACGCATAGTAAAACAATTATATAAGGAAGATTAGTTCAGCACTAATCTTTGTTATTTAATCTCTTAATTAGTGTATTCCGTTCATTAAAAAAACCCAATTATAATCAAATACAAACTTTATAATGTTAGCATAATCACTAAATGCATTTCATGTTAACCGGATTTGAACAAAAGGATTGCAACTTGTCCAGCGTAGAAATAGATAAAGTGTTTTGTCTCATGTGTTACGTAGCTCCCAAAGTTCCTCCCAACGACACAATGCCAAGTTGGACTATGTTTCTTGTCGAACTATTTCATAAAATATAAAAGAATGGGACATACTTCTTTCTTAATATATGCAGCAATATCTTTCTCGATGTTGTACTTTTCAAATGCTTGGGTTGCTGCCTCTATCGCATCTTGTTGCATTTCCTCGGACATATCTGCATTTTTGATAACAGCTTTCCTGGATCCGTCACCCATCTCCAGCAATATAATCAACTCACGACCACAGCTAACGAGATTGGGATTAAAGTGATATACGGGTCGTTTGTCTACAAAACGACCTAACTGAGATGTGATTGGTTTGTATTTAGTAAGTTGGCTTCACTGGCATTCTATTGGACGAGACATTCCACCTACGTAATCGTATTCCTATTGGTAAACTGAATAATTAGACAGGTATGGTCGCTGCTGGTGTGACTTCCAGTTACCTATTGGCTTAATCACTATGATTGTGGGTATAGCATATTTTCTCCTCAATCATCCTGACAACCAATCAAATCTTTGAGCTAGTGGCGCGATCTGCGTCCTTTCCGAGGTCATAGCAAAACAACATGAATACTGTATTTCGTTCACCATTTCGCCTCGTCTAGTTTGCAGTTTCGGTGGAGTTGTAGTTGTTTGAAACCAACCGAGTTTGCTTCTTTTGACTACATTTGAATTGCTAATGTTGTGACGAGGAGCTGAATAAAATTCCCCATCGTTTTCCATTTAAGAGGAACGTTGTAGGTTGATTATGTGGTATTATTATTATTATTTTGTATTGGCTGTTTTATAACTGGATAGCGTTTCCTGATTAGCTGGTAAGTCGCCAAGGTCTTCTGTGTATTATACTTTTACCGAGTGTTGTAGATTTGTATTTTCCGAATGTCAAAAATCAAATCCATCGTTTCAAAACGTTGGTTTTTCACACTATTTTTTCACGTTAATGTTGTGATTATCACCGGTCTCCAGCACTGGCTGCTCTGTTGCAGGTTGGGATGTTCTTCGTTCACCCTTGCTTATGTTGCGTTCATTTTAGTTCCTCATAGCTTTCAGTGTAGTCAGCAGGCGTTTCACTAACTACCACTTGCTGTACTAGTATGTCATAAGCGCCATCTGAAATGTGAAATCGAGCCTTTAGTTTATTGAAATTGGGCAGTGGTGTTATTGGGGCTACTGAGTAAACTTGCACTATTTTCAGAAATGTTTCCTCGTATGCATCAAATTGCTTAAGTAAAGTTATGACGCAGTTTGTGCGTTTTTCACAGTGGTCTTAATTTAGGGGGATGCTTAGATAATCTCAAAGGTTAGCTAGATGTGCTAAGTGGGCAATCTCGTTTAAAGGAAGCAGGCTGTATTGCCCTGAAATCACTCGACCTCGTGGGAAAATCCTAGCATACTATTCACTCTCAATCCAGGAGTTTGGATAGATGGGCAGAACAATTTAGGGATCGGTTGAACTGGCCTTCAGCCACACTTCGGTTTCCCACTATCTCCATTCGACCTGAATGGCAAGTTGATGTAAGTCCTCCAACTCTTTACGAAATTGAAAAAGCTATGATGAATCTGGAGCGTGGGAGAGCAGCGGACCATTATAGGTTCACCCTTGAGTTTTTTAAGGATGGCGGTCCAGTATTAGTAGTGAGATTGACTGAGGTCTTAGGTAGGATCTGGGAGCCGGACGTAATCCCATCTGACTGGTCTCAATCACTGATTGTGCCAGTCTATAAGAAAGGAAAAACAATGACAATCCTAAAGGAACCAGTTTGACTAATATAGTGTTTAAAATATTAGCTTCAATAATACGTCGACGCCTAACTAAAGCTCGTGAAGAGCAGACTAGAGAAAACCAGGCTGGTTTTCGACCTGGACGTGGCGGTATAGACCAGATATTCATGCTCCTTCCTTTCTCTTTCCAAATTTATTTCACTGGATTATACTCCTTGAATAACATTTAACCCTAATGTCTCCGACTACTGCTTATACTTTTACTACCTCCACCACTATGGGATGTGAATCGACAATTGTATCTCGATGTTAATGTGGTATGGCAACTCAGACTGAATTACGAACGTACGAAAATATACGTTGCGACCGACTGAATAGGCTAGTCGAGCATCATACGGAAGCTTCTCTATCCCGAGAATCAGCTTAGTTGCTGTTCTCTGAACCTTTTCCAAATCTCACAATAATTTTTAAGAAGGGGCTAGCCGATTATATGCAATTCTAAAGTTTAGGACGCACGAATACTGTATACAAAGCCAAAAATCGTTTAGCGTCGACATGACTAAAGGCCCCACGTATTGACCATAAAGTTCTAAAACCTTTGGCGGCTATTGCACGGCAGTGTGCAGTCGTCTTTAAGTCAAGGCTAACGATGACTCCTAAGTCATTGTGTGCTTGGACAACAGTGTCATTCATCATGTACGTACCTGTGCCTTAAAGACGGGTATGCATCACAATACTCTTGAAAGTATTTATCGGCAACTGCCATGTTTGAGACCATCCAGATAATTTCTCCAGGTCATTTTGGAGTTCTAAGCTATTACCCTTACTTCGTATCGCTCTCCATATCTTGACATCGTCAGCATATAGCAAGACCGATGATAGTAGGAGAAAAGGAAGGTCATTTACATACAAGAGGAATAACACTAGCCCCAAAATTGTACCCTGAGGCACTCTACTAAGCACAGTTTCCCAGCTAGACAACTTGGAGTTCACCCATACTTTGTTGGCGCCCAACTAGGAAGTATTTTATCCACGTCAATAGATTTCCTCCAACCCCGACATTTCTTAACTCATATAACAGCCGGTTGTGCGAAACTTTGTCGAATACTTTGCTGAAGTCAATGTAGGCTACGTCTACGGGTAAATTTTGGTCCTTAAGAGAGCACCAGTTTTCACGAACCACTAATAAGTTATTAAGACAGGAATAACCTATTCTATAATCATGTTGCTTTTCCGAAAGTATCCGGTTTTCATCGAGATACTTAAACAGCTCCTTCCGAATAATCTATAAATTTTTAACAACCACACTAGTTAGCTAACTAGTTGGTAATTCTCAGGCTTACTTTTCGTACCTGTTTTGAAGACGGAACTTACTATGGCGTTCTTCTGGTCTTTTGGTAAATGACCCTGGGTTACGGATAGATTAAGGCATATACTCAAAGAGTTCTCAATGAAGTTCGCTAATTCCTTTAGTAACCTAGGATGCCGTCCATCGGACCTCGAGGGTTTGCCTATGTCAAGCTTACTTACCAGGCCAGAGACATCGAGTTCTTCAATGGTCATGCTGTCCAGTGTGTGGGGGGATTTTTATGGACTGACGGGAAGGGTGTTTTCACGGTATATAAATTGCTAAAATAGTTTGAGAATACTTGAGCTTTACCAAAGTCGTCCTCGACTAATGATGATGCAGTACTGTCTCCCCATAGTGCTGGAATATTTCCTCTTCTTTTTGTCCTCTGGTCTATATACCGTGGATATGGATGTGTTCAGACTCAGTTTATCCTTACACTACACCGGTTTAAGATTAATTTGATGGAGTTAAACTAAACTGATATATGTAGTGCCGTATACTGCTCTGGTTTAAGATTATCATAACTAACTCGAATTATTTTTGGTTCCTTGGATTTCAGAACTACAAATTCAATATTATATGCTCCAAAACAATCATGGGATGACCGATTTGTGGGTCGGGCTGTTAATGACCAAGACGACGTAGCCACAGCTTTCACCTTGGATGTATTCAAAATGTCACTACGTAAACCAGGAAATCTTGTTCGAAAATGACATCTCCCAATAAATCAGGAATGTGATGTTATCCAATTATATAAAACTTTGTTCATGTTTGTAGATTCACATTGAAAAATAAATTACAATATAGATCTCTGAACCTTGCTTTTGGTATATATACGGGTTTAAGTTTGATACCACAATTGGCAATCGTCTGATTCTCATCAGTTATAGTTAATTTTGATCGGCATACAGCTGCGTCGGAGGTTAGTGGGATTTATTATTGTCATACGTTGGAGCCTAGTGGATAGAAAGTAGAAATTTAAAATGCCTGTCTTCTGTTGATAGTATGTTCCTAAAACCTTTTTACAGAGAGTTACCTGGACCTGTGGCGTGTTTGGGACGTGTAGATATCCATGAGCATTTGTCATGCACGCATATCCGGACTGCTGAGCTTACTTAGGTATGTTTTGGATACAATGTGGATTGGAATCTGTACCGCAACACTCATGTGGCGTTGTATGAGAGTACTACTGTACCCAACATTTCGAGCTTCTGACGACAGTTTCTTAGATCCTGGTATTTGCTTATTTCAGTAGTTTTATTGTTACTTGCAACTGAGGTCGTTTCAGTATGTATTTTTCTGCGCTGCCTTGGATCACTACACATATTCTATAGTTGATTGTTATATCGCAAGATAATACCGGTTTTATTTTGCAATCATCTGATCTAGACATGGGAATGCAGTGTGAATGTAAATTGGTTTATACAGACTGTGATGCATACACTTAATACTACTTCCAGGGTTGTCTATTTCCACATCGGACCGTTGTTAACACGTAATTAATTAAACATGCTACTGGACCGAACTGTAAGTTAAAAACCTTAGAATTTATTGTTGTAACATTTACTGATAGACCACTTTTGATGTCATTTACCATGTAACCACTCCATCTTGATAATTTAGTCATCTCGATAACATGAAAATCCATTGGATGATAAATATAAAGATTCATATCCTTTTAGTGTTGGTCATTAACTTCGGGTTGAGAAAATAAGCCTAAATAACACGGATTCGCACAACCAATGTGCAGTTAGTTTATCTGCATTTAGAAAGTGTAACAATTGAATGCTCAAGTGAATAGCTTATCCCACATGGCGTAGTTATCTATCACTGAATGGCATCAGAGTTCCGTCGTTTTGCTCAAACGCACGTGGATGTTTGAATGCAAAGAAGTCCTACTACAATGAACTTAACTCAAGGAAGTAAAATCAGAGTTGAGAAACAATTCTTGGGAAGATTTATTCAGATAATAAGAAATTAATTCACATCTTTTACATGTTCCTTTTGAGTCACTTCACAGGATGCGTCAATTTACCCAAAAAGTAAAAGGAATAAAAATCGTGACTATTAGAGCATGACGTTGCGAACGAGAAATTACAGACACGTCGGTATATGGCGTAAAGATCTTACAGTTTAAGAGATACGGAATACCACCCGGCAGGGTATAGTACAAAACCTGAGAGGATTACCATATAATTTTACCGAAACTTCAGTCATCACACTTTTGTCTGATAGATGTAGCGTTAGACTTGACGTACCATATTGTGAATCTAAAGGTTGTGGAGCCAGTATATGACATGAACATTAGATTCCTAAACTGATTCTCACTAGCTGCACTGTGCCTCGAAAAACTTCGCCCATATTCAAAGACATCGATAGATGTTAGTGATTGGCGTCCCGTCAACTTCATATATTGTTTCATTCACACCAGACTGCCTGCTGCCAGTGGCTCAGATGAGTTGAAAGAGCTCCCGGCAGCCACAGGATGCAGCTGCTATTTACAACTCACTAGCACGCTCTGACCATCCGGCTTCTCAGTCCTTACGCAAGCTTTGTCTAATTCCACCACGTAACAGTCTTCGTTTGTGGTCGGTCTCGCTGTCACTTAGAGTAGACTAACCGGCTTCAATGGATTGTAAGGAGCCTGAAGAAACCCAGTCCTTACAAGCGGGAAATCTTGAGAAGCCTCAAGTTACTTTGCTCGTCATTTTCATGGTGTCATGCAATTGCAACCAATGCTCATCTATACTTTTCTATGGGATGGTTGCTAGTCTTGAACCTATATCCGTTTCATATTTAGTTGCAGCAGAAGCTACAACCAATTCTCTTAAATCGATCCGCTTACGACGATGAATTTGTTGGACAGTGAGAAGTAAGATAAGATAAGCGCAAACAAGGGAATGGTCAGGGTCCAGATATGTACTCCAGATGGAGCGCCAGTCTTGTACACAACCACGCTAGCGGTAGCTGATTGCGACGTGATTGATCTGAGTCCAGGCTCAAGGTCCAGAGGGAGGACGCTAGATGGCACATTCAAGATGACTGTGCCGGTAGTTAGTGCTAGCCAGGAGCAGTTTGTGGGCTACGCACAGTTGCAGTAGACGGCCACCGGTATCTGACCTGCGACCAACAAGTTCCCATCGACCACCTAGACGACTCTCTCTTCTCTTATACGCCTGACCTGAGCATTCAAGTGTCTGGGTAGCACTACAATATCTGTCGAGCACACTTTCTGTAGGAGAACATTCAACTGGTGGTAAGACTTATCCTAGATCGCATCTGGGCTGAAATCGTTTGGAGTGTAGGTGGAGATAATGGAAAGTTATCGTTTCTCACACCGATTTCTTCGCACTTTGATGGAACGTTCTAATCTAACAGCACATAACCGACTGTTAGTGGGGATCCAATCGATCAATGCTGTCTCAGCTCTAGTGCTTATTGCGACACCAACGCCAGCAAGACCAGACGAAGATGCCAGTGTCCCCAGATAAACGTACGCGAAACAAGCTTTGGCAGCACCTCACTAGAGTCTTGAATACGGGTCTCAGAGAGACGACAAACATCGATGTTGAGACTTTATAGAGACATAGTCAACCCCATCTGTCGTTCGACCTGCATTAGTGTGCGAAAATCGGAGGAGGCCAATCTGAATGGTATACGAGGTTACAGAAAGACTAGGTTAGCATTCGTAGTTGGTGGTAGAATTCAACTTTCGATCTAACAGTGACTTCATATAGTTATATAGGTCAGGCTTGTCACCACGGGCGAACTGCTGTAGAAGTTGAAAAACAAAATATATAAGTGACGTGGTGTAAAAGCTTGTGTGCTAGGATTCTTATGTATGACATGTTGAGAAACGCAAAATCAGTTAATGTGTATTCATTTTAGCACAAATATTGTTACAAGGAGGCACCAAATACATATGTGCCACACACTGACAACTGGATTACGAAAAGGTAGAGAAAGTAAAAAAGATTTCTTTCGGTCCAAGAAGTTGCGTCAGCTTTCACGAAACAGTTGAAAAGAGGTTGCAGCATGATCGCCAATTGCTTTTTCAATGGTAGTAATACATAAGAGTAAGATTGTGCATAAGGACATAGTATGAACTGCCTATGTAAAAATGAGCTAGGATGTGTCACCGTAGGGGCTACAGAAGAACAATAACACAGCTAGCAACTCAGCACCTCTATACTTTTAATACCAGGTGTCTATGGTGTAAATATTTATAAACATTTTTATCGAAAAAAAGATATGGTTTTGAACACATTTTCTTTATTTAGATGTCATCATCTGCTCTTTGGATTATAACTGTAAGTCTCAGAGTATAGGATAACAAATGTTTAATAACTAAGGATGCCACAAGGATTTGGAGTTTGACAACACCTTAGCCAGTAACACCTATAATCGAAACGTGCCAATCCAGTGAAACCAGAAATCAGAAGCGAAGAGGTTCGACGATATATTTGATAAGCTATCTATATATCGAGAAGTGACTGATCTTAGCTGGCTATAGGTTGTAGGAGAAGTTGGAAACAGCTTACCCACTCGTGATCTGGTGCAGATGCGTAGTAGTACAATATAGTAATGGAAAATAGGTACAATGGAAATTTCGATTCATCGTAGACTCCGTCGTGTTTACACCTTTTCCAGCCGTTTTAGAAAAGAAAAGTATGGGTAAGTGCATATCGAATTACACTCGTTCGAGCGTAGACAAAAAACGAGAGAAAAAAGGAAAATGAACTCACATACATGCGTTTCACAAACATGCGATAGCGTAAAAGTGATTTTCGCATAATGATATTTTGGTTTCTTTCGAAAAAATTGAAGCAAGCATATTGGCAACAAAAAAGTTGTTTATTTTCTCTTGGCATGTATATATGGGAATTATTTGATTCCCTAAATTGGTTATTTCTATCTAGTTTTGTATATATTCTGTTTGTTTAATAGAACATTTAATGCAAAAACCATCGCACCTCTTTAATTAAGTAATACATTTTCTTCAAAATATTGAATATGATTAAATATCGATTCCACTCAGACCGTTATTATTAACGATTGCATACGAAGGATCATTGACATCAAAAGGTCATTTGCCCTATGTACTGCTAGGTATTTCTTCCAAATGAACGCTACGAACAGCATTGATTGGTAGATATCCTCCAACAATAATAACTACATTACCACTATCTAAAAATAACTGATCATAATCTTGTAAATCATTCCGATCTTACACTGATAACCTAACTTTGCCTTGAAAGTCTACTGGCTTTAACTCCCTTAAATTCAGACTCTTTTTCAGTCGCTTTTGGGTAAGCAATGCCCTATTTAACTTGGTCATTGAGGAACTAAGTCAGCTAGAACTTGCGATATGAACACTCGTGTTATCATCAAATATCTCAACAATGATATTAGACAAAGCACAAACAACTCTAAAAACCTAAAGTTCATATCCGGATTCCCTTCTGGTTTCTATGATATATCCTTGCCCCACTCCACGTATTGTTGCTTTAATAGGTTTGAATTAGTCCAAAACAAATAATCCAGTTACACCCGTAGTGACTCACTTTTATCACGAGAACACGATTGGTTTATTGAAAACAATTATTATTATAACCAATTGTACCAGTGACTGTTTTAATGTGCTTTTGTTTAACTGTACCAAAAAGCATCCATTATTCTTACACTTCGACTGTGACCACCCAAGCAACACAAA